GACAACGGAAATGCGAAAGATTGCCTCGAATTGCCACCCACAAATTTTTCGATTTTTACATTAAAAAACGTGACTTGACGAACTTATTTGATTAGTTTCACAGTACAGGATTGTTTTCTAATTCGTTTTGTTTGTATAGAGCTTGTTTCACTCATCCGATTTCTTCAAATTTGAGTTGTAATCCATGTTTATGGTACTATGATCAATTGGTTCACTTTGATAAAGAAATTAATGCAAATGTTTATCGTCATAGTCTCTGGGAGTATTATAAACGTTTCCATTGTTCATTTGAATGGCATTTGACACCTCATATGACGTTATATATCGAAACCTGTATTAGGCGGACACCCTGTATAAAGCGGACACTACAGCATTCCCCGAGGGTGTCCGCTTAATACAGGTTTCACTGTATCAGTAATATATAAAAGTGCAAAGTTCTGTCTTCCATCACATGTCACAAAAAGAAAACACAACCCTGAAGTGGAAAATAGACGCTTAATTCGCAACCTTTCCTCCGCTAACTGTTTTTCAGTCAGTTTTTTCAGTTAAGGGAGAGATAAATCCACCCTAGTTTCCTTGCGTTAGTGGAATATCATTGGGTGCCTAAACTCTTTTATGCCAACAGCTACAGACTAAACGAATGGGTATCTGTTCAATTGTTCTTTATCTCACTCAACTAGTCATACCTGTAGATGGTAAAGAAAATCTTCATCGAGATGCAAATCGTTCAGACTGCTGGAAAATAGGCCACAGAAATCATGCGTTGAGTTTTCATGACTTTCTACCATGGGGGTCGTCATCGATCTTGGAAAATGGGGTCTGTTGGAGCTTGACTTGTGAGTTCCGATGTGACGTAGGTTGAGTTGGGACGTTGGAAGAGGGGGAACTGGAAACAAAGGTGGATAGGAATAATCTGAATTCCGATGCCCCGGTTTAGAGGTTCCGTTACATTCCATTCCAAGGCTCGGTGGGTAGATCAGTCGATTCATCGAAGAGTTGTAGCCGCTGTTAATGATGCTTTGAAGATGCTCTTTTAGAGTTTGGATGTAGCTTGTTGCTATTTGCAATAGCTCTAGTTTCGTTTTAACTCTGGTTTCTTTGTAGTTCGGAATCGTGCTTCGTAATTCTTCGTAGGCGTCGTTCATTTTTCGCACCCGCTCTCTCTCATGGCGATTCGCAAGGAGGCGCTTTTCTTTTGACATCTGCCGTTTGCGCGGATTTTTTGCTTGGTCGTCTATAAAAGGTTCCATTACTAAACAAAAAAACAATGAAAATGTGGTTAATTTTGAGGTGTTTCAGTATTACCGTTACTGAATTGAGAGCAGCGGTAGGTCATAACTTGAAGAAAA